GGAGAAAAGGAGCCTCGTAAATGCAGATTTCTCCTAGTGTGCTTCCCTTCTTTCAAGAGACAATAGCTTCAGTTCTCCGTGCTTTTATTTACTTTTCAGAATCTTTAACTTTTTAAAAATATTATTCCAAGAGTTTACATATTTTAAAAACACTGTCCAGTGTTTGATGCAAGTGAATGTGCCACTCCATTGTTTTCTGTGTGTTTTCTGAAATGATGCACACAGGATATACTGCTCATTTCTGGAAGTTTCTTATTACAAAGTATTTATTGTATCTGAAGGGATTTAACATTCAGTTGTAATGGTGAATTTCTTTTAGATTTTCCAAGTTCCTTTCTTATATATAATAAAAGCATTAAAGAGAAAAAGTTATAGTATTAACTTTCCTTTAAATTGCCTTTCCTTTCTTAATTAGTCATACAGACTGAATTAATTTCTTAACCTGAGGGAAACCTACAATCTTTCTCTTCTGAGATTTTTAAAAATAAATTGGACTAAGAAAGAAATACAGGTACACCCAAAAGGATTTAAATGACATATGTATTCCATTTATAGTATTTAGAAATTAGTCATTAATTTTTCACTTAAAAAAAAAATATATGAGACATATTTAAAAAGATGTGGTTTTCTATGAAAGCTCCTAGATAACTAAACAAAGCTTGTTTTTTAAATTTTTTTACTGTCTCTCTAGCATATATATAAAATAGATTGAATATAATTTTTAACTGAAGATAAGAAAGATTGCCAAGTACCTATATTTTCCATTTTTACTTTATTTTTCTATAATTTTCAATTATAAACATAATTTTCAAGCATGGGAAATATCTGTTGTTGTTTTATAGTGACCACCTGTTTGCTCCCCAATATTTGGGTGATTTATTACACTGGGAGGCAAATAAATAAATGTAAGAATACCATTTTACCAAGCTTATGTTATGACAGTTAAGAAACAATTGTATAGTAACTTAAGGTAATAAAGTAAATTTAGATTATTTTATTTAGTTAGTTATTTTTAAAATATATCTTTATTGATTTCAGAGAGAGGAAAGGAGAGGGAAAGAGAGAGAGAGAAACATCAATGATGAGAGAGTCGTTGATTGTCTGCCTTCTGCACGCCCCCTGCTGGGAATGGAGCCCGCAACCCGGGCCTGTGCCCTGACCGGGAATCAAACCGCGATCGCCTGGATCCTAGGTTGACGCTCAACCGCTGAGCCACTCCTGGCCAGGCTAGATTATTTTAAATTGAATGGAAAGTTTTGCTTGACTCCTGCATTATTTTAAAAAGATAATGAATACCTTTTAATTTATAGTTTAGTGTATCATGCAAAGGTTTTCAAATCTTTCTATGAAATAAAAATAATCTCCCAAATAATAGTTTTATCTCTGATTGAAGCAGATAGAATGTGTAATATTCAAATTGTAATAATACAAAATAAGACTATTGTACCACTTGAACACACACACAACACACACACACACGCACAGACACTCACATACACAGCAAGCAAAATTCAACCTGGAAAAGGCTATTTGTCCCCAAGAGATTTATTTCTTTTTAATAATTACTGTTGTACTGAAGAAGCCCTTAATTGTTTCTTTCATTACTGCTGCATATCTACCTTAATATCTTATCTGATAACCTTATCTACACAACTGTTATTCCTGACTCAGTAACGTCTAATCTCCTTTTCTGTTTCAATTTATGCTTTCCCTGTTGTCTATTCAGTACTGGAAACAGCACTGCAAGTGACTCGAGCTCTACCTCATTTCCCTTTCCTTAATTAAATCATGTATTGGCATTTGATGTAATTTATAGCTGATAAAGTTAGATTTGTCTTATGCCAGACCATGTACTGTTTCATCTATTCTTTTTCAGTTTAGTTTTCATTCCAGAAAGTTCCATTAAGAGACCATTAATTAAAATGTTGTGTAAACATAATAAACTGCCTTACACAGGCTTAAAAGTAAAATTGTTCATTTGTCCATAGCTTTCACTGGTAAGACAACTTTTACACCAGAGTGTCCGTAGTTCTACACCCTTGCACTTACAGACACACAAATGCTATCAAACGCATTTACGTATGGAAGCATCAGACAGAAAGCCATGTAACAAACTGACATGGACTTAAAACGCTTAGTAATTTCCCTTACTAACATAGCTATTATTTCTTGAGACACTTGGCCATTTCACGCTTACCTTACATAGTGGATAATATATGGAACAGCTGCAAACTTTCATAGTAATAGGTACGATTGAATCTGATGTGTCTAATTAATTTTTAGTGAAACAAATTAGTTTTGTTCTTCATTACTCTGCAATGGGAGGAAGACATTATATTTCATTATATTTTTTGTCTGCAAGAACAATGGAGCATTACAGGTCACACACAACAACCTTGTCTATGCTCTGATTAGTCCAACTGACAACACTGTTTCAAAAATATCAGCAGCATAAGAGATAGTCATGCACTCAGGGTGACATAAATATTGCACTATATCAAATATGATAAAAAGATCTTACAGATCTTTTACAAAAAATGGAAGAGAAATTTTATTTTCTCTTTGTTCTATGAGGTATTTGTTTTCTTTTTAGTAATTAGTAGTAGCTAAAAAAAATCACCAGATATTTCTGTGTCTCATATTGTAAATATGAGCTCATTTTAAATACTTTTTTGACTATGTTTATGTGTATAATAATTAAAGGCAGATAGATTGGGAAGGTTTACTACATAAATGAATCTGGATTTTAAATCTGAAATTAAACTCAAAAGACATTTCAGAAATGAAATATAAGTATAAGAAATGTTAGCAGCTATAACAAAGAAGCTTGCATGCTGATTGGCTTAACAAAAGACCAGTCTAAAATGGGTTAGCACAATGGAAGATGGGGTTTCTACTCTATACAGTTATTCAGGAAACTTTAGTCTTTCCAGTCAGTGGCTTTACCAAGTGCCCTCCAAGTGTCCTCACAGCATAGGGATCAAGTCTAGAGGTCATATGCATCACTTGTGTCCCATGTACCATTGGCCAGTACTCAGTCACTTTGTTGCACTCAACTATAAGGCGGTCTGGGATATGCAGGCTAATTTTCTCCTCTGGAAGAAAAGAGAAACTGCAGTAAACAATCACCTGTGGTTTGCAGGACTCTCATGTCTACATAATTTACAACTTACATCCCTGTAGCTAACTGAGTGGCTCTTAAAATAACCCTTAACCTTAAATGAGCCATAATTTTGAGTCACAAAATACTGTGTTCCTATTAACCTCTTTACCTGCATCATCTCAAGTGATCCTCCCAAATAGACTGCACTGTTGCCCACTAACAAAATCTGGCACTCAAGAAATTTAAGTGCCCTGCATAAGCTTACTGCTTATTTAGCTAGTAAGGGGCAGAGACGGTATTCGAATGTGGAACCTCAAAGTCCACACTCTTTCTAATATATTTCAGTGTCATGATAACTAAAACAACAACATTTACACACTCCTTCAGTGAGATATGCTGAAATTTGCCATTTGTATTTGGATTATAATTTATTTTTAAATAGTCTTTAATTAGCCACTAATGATGTATAATATTGACATTAGAATCGGGCTCGGCAACCACAAACAAAGCTATTATGAATGTTCATGTACAAGTCTTTATGTGAAACATTTGCTTCCAAGTTGTGGTATTTATATATCACAGGTGCTATACCTCTCAGTAATAAAAGGAGATGAACTACACACAGCAACATAGATGAATCTCAAAATAATTATTCTGAATGAAAGCCAGACAAAACAGAATACACACTGTATAACTCCATCTACATAAAAATCTAGGAAATAAAGATAATCTAGAGTGACAGATCATTGTTTGCCTGGGAGTGAGCATGGAGGGGCTGAAGGGGGGGATATTAAACGGGCAGGAGGAAACTTTGGGGATCAAAGGACATAATCATCTCTTGATGGTAGTAATGGTTTTAGGCCTGTGTGCGTATGTCAAAGCTATTACATTATTACTCTGTAGATGTCAGTCTATTGTGTATCATGTATCAATAAAGCTATTAAAATAAAACCTTACAAAAAAAAGAAAAGAAATCACTTAATTCTCTGTCTAAATTTCTTAATCTGTTAAATAAACACCTACATCTTTGCTCTTCTGTGATATTATGATTTCATGAGTTTTAGGCCTATTTAAAAACGTGGATTAAGATTTTTTAAAATATTTATGAGAGGTCTAAATTATCAAAAACATGACTACTTCTAGAATAATCTTAGTCTAGGTTTAAATGTACATTTTAATTATGTAGTCCTTAAAATTAAATTTAAAATTGTCCTTTGAGTTCAACTTACAAGTGGATTTTCAAATTAGTTTCAAACACTTTAAGATAATATACAAGTTTTATCTTTTTATGACATTTTAATTATAGATAATAATATGTGTGAAAGAGTGTTTGCATAATTGTCATTGTTTTATGCATTAGTTTTAATACATTCCTGAAAATTAAACGGTTTGATCAAAATAAATTCCTTGGTACAATATTAAGGATAGTATTAAGCTACATAATTTTGAGTTATGAACATTTGACTTTAGGCAGTGCTGTAGAGGAAAGACAATTTGCAAATACCCTGTGCTGAATGTTACAGCTGCATTTTTTTATTTTAATGACGCTACATTAAAACACGCTTTACCTAACTGAAGAAAAGTTGCTGTTATGTCAACCCCTAAAAATTGTTTCCGTACACATTTATAAGAAGGTAAATCAAGAAGCAGTTCTGAATCTATTCATAATAGCAAGTCAGACATAAGAGAGCAATGTTCTTAGTCACATTTTAAACTCATAATTTTATTCTTCTTCTGTAACTTATATGCTTATCAATATTTGTGACAGGTTCAGGATGCAACCAATATTACTTGCTTTCAAAGGAATTTTCTAATTTTCTGTGCCTTTGGAGCACCACGTGCATTGATGTGTTTATTTTTGTATTAATGTTTACTAAAACTATTGTTTCTTCCATAGGTGGACGTAATGAAGTTGTCATTACTGAAAACAACAACAGCATAACTGAGCAAATCACTGATGTGGTGAAACAACCAGCCTTTATAGCTGGTATTGGTGGTGCCTGCTGGGTAATTCTGATGGGTTTCAGCATCTGGTTGTATTGGCGAAGAAAGAAGAGAAAGGGGCTCAGTAATTATGCTGGTAAGAGACTATTTCCAGCTAAGAAAACCTCTTATCTTTAGGAATGTGTTGAAATGACAGAGAAGGAGTGGAGTGGAATGGAATACCAGGAGAGTGAATGAATGCATCTTTTTGGCTTGTTTTAAACATCTGTTCTCTAAAATGCAATTATAAACGACATGCTTTAATGCATTGCTCTTCAGCATATCACATTATGACCATAAGGCAATCTTTTTGCTTGAATTTCCAATGAAGCATAACAAGAGTGCGCACTGATAAATGCTTAACCGTTTTTCTCAACAAGTTCTTCAAAACACAGAAGCTGTGCATCTATGAATCCACTATTTGAGAGGCATATATAGGCAAGAGCATTAGTAAAATGCTCAGGAAAAAGGGGGAAATTTGAAATATATCATCAGGTATTTTAAGATGCAGATTACAGTAGGAAATGAGCCAGATGGAAAATAAAAACAAGCAAAAAGTCTCACCAGAATTAATAAGATTGATGGTACATGAATTGAGGATTTCCTAGTCACTTAAACAGATGTCTATTTCAAGGTGACCAGTCAGCATTTTAGAAGGAAGAAAAAAGAGAAAGGAGAGAAGCAGCAGAAGAAAAACATGGCCCTAGATTTTCTACCTGTCTGCAAAAGATGTTTTATTTTAGAATCCAAAGAGGTCAACGTTGTGGCCTTTAAAATACTTGTGAGAGAGAGAGAGAGTTATCAAGTCAGTGATTACAGCAATGAACTCAGTACTAAGCTTATTCAATAGCAATTTTAATTGCAATTCATTTTAAACATTTTTTCTAACAACAATCCAAAAAATAAATTCTTACAGTACTTTATACTTTCTAGAGTTTGCAAGCAAACAATTTTAACTTCACATTGTCCTACAAACTCTAGAATTTTTTGAGATACTTCATTCAATCTTCTATAACCTGGGTAAGAAGCATAAACATCTTCACAACTGATTTTGACAGAGGTTTCAGTGCTTGATAAGCTTACAAGCTGCTGTAGCTTGTGGAGGCTTCTAAACTGCGGAGAATGTCTAAATAGCGCAAAATGGAAAAAATAGCACTAATTGTCAGGTTTGTTATTTGACAGCATTTAAACATCATCATTTGATTATAACGTTATGGCTCATGTCCGTACCTTATGAAAATAAAGTCTGTTAGTTACTGCCTAGAATAAATTTCCAGGACTAGAGAATGTATTTCAGTGTATCCATTGGATTGAGGTTTCCATGCTTTGTGATCCACTGTCATCCTGTCATTCTTATTGTTATTGGTTGCTGACCCATTCTTTTTTATATTTTAATTTTTTTTATTTTAATTTTTTAAATTTTTTGTTCAAAATATTACAGATGTCCTTTTTTCTCCCCAATAACCCATTCTACCCCATCCCACCCCCTCCCCAGTCCCTCTCCCCACCATTGTCCATGTCCTTGGGTTGTGCATAGATGCATATAAATTCTTTGGTTACTCTCTCCCC